TTCACCTTAAATTAAAGTTAAGTTAGGCAGTAATGTAATTAATTAATAAAGTAATTCAAATAAAGAAACTTTCATTTAATTAATCCAAGTTAAATAATTTATATATAGAGATGTGCATATATATATATATATATATATATGAGCTCAATATAAGGGAGAGAGAGGAATAAAAAAAAAAAAAAAGCAAGAAAAAAAATAGAGAAAGGTGAAGGAGATGAGGAGAATTTGGAGCAACTCCAACAAATTTACTCATTGAGGTAAGAGTTCTTCTTCAATTCTTGCATGGAGATGAATTGTCACCTTGAACTCATGGAATTGAGGGAGAGAGTGAAGGGTTGAGTAATAGAAGTTGTATTATAACCCTGATAGGAGGAATTCTTCCATATCCTTGTATATGTTGCATTACCCCGGCTTAATTTCTTGGTCTTGGATGATTTTAACTTAGATTTGCATAATTTTGTTGAAATATATGATTATTTTATGCATAGAATTTTGTTTTCTTTAACCATGAAGTTGTTTATGAGTTTGAGGAACTTGAGTTTGAATTTGAAGTTCTATGACCTTGGAAATTGTTTATACACCATGTTGTTCACCTTTGGACTTTAATTTAGTTGAACTTGGATTTGATTTTTGGTGGGTTAAAGCTCTGAAAAAAAACAGAGCAGAAATTCGGGTCTGAAACACCCAGAACCGCACGTGCGGGATACACTGGTGCACGTGCGGTGGGTAGGCCCACACGTGCAGATAATAGGGGAGGTACTGGAAACTTTCTACATAAAAAGCATCTGGTGGCGCACGTGTGGCGCACGTGCAGAGAGAGTCTTGCACTTGCGGCCAAGAAACTCTGCACATGCAGCTGTTTGACAGTCTCGGTTTCACTTTTCTATATCAGTTACTCCACTCCTGGGCCTCCGTTAGCGTGTTTTATGCCCTAATTGAAATCCATTTGCATTACATGAGCATTTACAGAGTAACGACATTTAGACCAATTAGTTCCTAAGTAATGGAACTAATTAGTTGGTTATATGGCAAATTAAGTATGCTACGTCTGTATCTGTTTGTGTAGGTCAAACGTCACATTCCAGTCATTTGCACCATGGAACCAACTGTGAGTAACACAGTTGTAAAGATATGTGTAATCTAAAGTACTTATTTCCAACTTTATAATTATGCTTTGGTCTGATATGTTTTCCTACATTGAATGATGATTCTACTTTTGTTTACACTGTATATCGTGGCATCCTTAGTATCTTTTATGCGATTACAGAGATCTCTGTTAGTTCCAATTCATAGAACTCCTGTTTATCTTAGTGATGGCCATCACATCTGATTTTCGGTCCTTCTGACCGCCTGTTCGGTCTTCTAGACTGCCTGCATTTATTGCTTTTGGATGTACCACGTGTTTCATTGTGCTTTCTATCTATAATAAGAACTTGCTCAGTATATAATATGCTTTACATTATGATCATCATTCGGAACCTCCTTACAAAGTTGTTATTCACTGGGCTTTAGCTCACGTTTTGTATATATGTATATGTAGGTAATCCAGTTCAGGAGGAGACGCAGCGATGACGATCTTGCCTCCGTTTTGGTTAAGGTACCTTTTGCGCCTCTCGTCAAGGTTCCCATATGTCGGAGTACTAACTGACCCAGTGATTACCCTTTTGACACTCACACACGTATCATGGTTGATTGTCACTGGCGTTATATTTGTTGTTGATGGGAATGACTTCCCTCTTTTGGTTGTATTTTGTCAAACTTGTGGTAACTTGATATACATTTGTATATATATATAGTGATGTCTTTTGTGGTTTCTGTTCTGATGTGTAGTTCAGGAGTACTACTGTATATATATTGGGCTTTGAAGTCCTCTGGGTTGTGATGCTATCTTGTGGAACACTAAATGATCTGGTGACTGCCAGTCAGTACTATTGTGAAGACCAAAGGAGATTCATGGAGGTTTGTTGTTATCTGTGGGTATGCTAGATATGGAGTGATGCAGGGGATGCAGGGGTGATGCAGGAGTGATCTGGGTTAATCTGTGTTATCTGTTGTTATCTGGTGTTATCTGTGGGTATGCTAGAAATAGAGTGATATGTTGTTATCTATTGGTAGGTTTGTCAATTGGTGTGTGGCTATTGGCTGCTGGTTGTCCTTGAGGTCTACTGTATGTGTGGTTGATGGGTTAATCTTTGAGGTCTGCTGTAAGTTCTGCTTATGAGTGATCTGGGTTAATCTATGATCCTTAGTTTGTGCCAGGTTCTGCTGTTGTTCGATGTTGTTGCTGGTGTGTGGTATTGATGTTTCAAATTGTCTGTATTTAATTAGACTGCTAGATTGGGTTGTATGTTAGATTTAGGCTTGGTTAGTCTTTACTTAGGTGTGGTTTTTTCTAGGTGGTTATGGTTGGTTTCTCACCAACTCTTGATAGTGTGCTGCATATGATTGGGCAATCTTATTAGTGCTAACCTAGTTGGGATTGATTTGGCTCGCTATGATGCTTTTGTACTCATCCTCCTTTTCCTGTATTATTGTTCTACCTTTCTTCTTCATCAATGAAGTTCTTTTTCTTTGCTAATAATAATAATAAAAAAAAAAACAGCTCGTTGGACGTCTTTCTGTCTTATGCATTAGCTTCCGCTAGCCCTGTTCTTTTGATTTGTTTAGTTAGGCCTTTGGTAATCACGTATTACTGGCTGGTTACGATACTAAGCCTATAAGGACGAGTTTAGGGTCGTGACAGAGTGGTATCAGAGCACACATCCAAATGAGCTATAGGGTGTCTTAGAAAAGAACTTAGGACATATTATCTGCATGTGTAAGTGTGTGGTTTATTTGATGTGCCTATGTGGTAATCATGCATGTGTAAAATTTATGTGTCCTATGTTTATTATTACTCTATTTTATATATATAGCCCAATAGAAGAAATAAGACCTGCAGAGAGATTTGAGTCTTTTGATGCAAGGATGGACCGGCTAAAACGAATGGTGAAGTTATTAACTGAATCGTTAAGATAACAACAGAGACAACGCTTTCCACCCCCACCTCCGCCACCAATTCTACTGGAGCCATGTAATAATGGTGACATTATTACCCTGACACAGAAGTTTAACAAGCTGAAACCGCCTACTTTTCCGAGCAGCCTTGAACCATTGAAAGCCAAAGCCTAGATTTTGGAGATTGAAAAGTTATTCGAAGTATTCCCATGTACCAAAAAGCAGAAGGTTCTGTTAGAAACTTTTACCTTGCAAGAGGAAACAAGAAAGTGGTGGATGCTTGTCCGAGATCAGCAAACCACCATGACTTGGACACAGTTCAAGGAAGCTTTTTATGAAAAATATTTTCCGCAGTGTGTAAGAGATCGGAAGGTAACAAAATTTGTGCAATTAAAGTAGGGCACTATGTTAGTGGCGGAGTATGAAACGAAATTCACAGAGCTCACGCTATGCGCCACATATGGTAGACACTGATTACAAGAAAGCCAGGAAGTTTGAAGGCGGTTTGGATGTTGAAGTTCTCGATCGATTTAATGTACTCAAGTTAGAAAAATATGTTGAAATTTTGCATAGATCTATTAGAGCTGAAGCGAATGTTGTTGAGCTAAAACAAGTAAAGGCACCGATGATTGAATGGAAAGGTAAGAGGCCGGGATCTAATTTCAAGAAAGGTCGGAACAACTTCAACACTCCATCGAACAAAAGACTGAATACATGATTATCTACTAGTTCAAGCCAAATACACCCATTTCCCGGAGTGTAGGAAAAGACATAAAAGAGTTTGTCGCAGGATTTCTGGTGCATGCTTCCAGTGTGGAAAAACATGCCATATGATTAAGGATTGTCCTTTAGTGTCTCAAAGCACAAGCTAGTCTAGGGCTAACTCGACTACATCAGTGTCAACGCCAAGGGTAAATTCAAAAGCAGCTGCAGGGAAAGAAACTCTAAAGCAAGGACAGGTTTTTGCATTAGTACCGGGTGATGTGCAGACTACAGAGACAGTTGTGTCAGGCATTTTTCCTATCTGTTCTCAGAATGTACGTGTTAATTGATTCGGGGTCTATACATTCTTTCCTGTCCTATGCTTTTGCTCCAAAATTACTTAGACCTTTGGAACCAATGGAATGTGTATTAGTTGTAACCTCTCCAGCGAGAGGAGCTATGATCTGTGCATCCATGCATGTGAGATCCTTATCGGGGGCATGAATTTGTATGTGGATTTGTTACCTTTAGATATTGTTCATTTTGATGTAATTCTATGGATGAATTGGTTAACAAAATATTGTGCTACAATTGATTGCTTAACTAAACAAGTTGTGTTTCGCTTACCTGAAGGGCCTGAATTTATATTTAATGAGGATGGTGTTGTACCTCCCCCATATTTGATTTCCTCCATGAAAGTGAATAGAATGATTAAAAAGGGTTGTAAGGGATTTTTATTTTCTATGTTAGTGGTGCCAACTACTGCTAAACTAGATGTAAATATTATTTCTATAGTGAAAGAATTCCCAGATGTGTTTCCAGATGATTTGCCTAGGAATTTGATTGATAGAGAAATCGAGTTCACTATTGAGATAGTACTAAGTACCCAACTGATTTCTAAGACCCCATACCGGATATCGACTACTGAATTAAAAGAGTTGAAATCTCAGTTACAAGAATTACTGACTAAGAAATTTATTAGGCCTAGTACATCTCCGTGAGGTGCTCTAGTGTTATTTGTCAAGAAGAAAGATGGAACCTTAAGGCTTTATATAGACTATCGGGGAGTTGAATAAGGTCACAATTAAGAATAAATACCCGTTGCCACGTATTGATGATCTGTTTGACCAACTACAAGGGGCATAAGTGTTTTCTAAAATTGATTTACGATCTGGATATCATCAGTTAAAAATGACAGCTGAAGATGTGGAGAAAACTGCTTTTCGAACAAGATATGGTCATTATGAACTCCTCGTTATGCCTTTTGGGTTACAAATGCACCAGCTGCTTTTATAAATCTAATGAATATAGTTTTTAGGCCATTCCTTGATGAGTTCATTGTGGTCTTTATCGGTGACATTCTGATATATTCTAAGAGAAAGGAGGAACATAAACATCACTTGAGACTTACTTTTCAAACATTGAAGGAAAAGAAATTATATGCTAAATTATCGAAATGTGAATTTTGGCTGGATAGTGTGACATTTCTGGGACATGTGATAATGAAAGAAGGTATCTCAGTTGACCCACAAAAGATAGAGGCTGTTGTAAATTGGCCGAGACTAGCGAGTGTGATAGAAGTTCGCAGCTTCTTGGGCCTAGCTGAATACTATCGCAGGTTTGTGAAGGATTTTTCAATGATTGCTTTGCCACTTACTCAGTTGACACAAAAGGGGGTACCATTCGAATGGACTGATCAAAGAGAGACAACTTTTCAAGAATTAAAGACAAGACTTATGACAACACCAATTCTCACTTTACCCTCTGGCGCGGATGGCTTTACCATTTACAGTGATGCTTCCTATAAAGGCTTGGGATGCGTGTTGATACAAAAAGAAAAGGTGATTGCTTATGCTTCCCGTCAATTAAGACCACATGGAAAGAGTTACCCGACTCACGATCTAGAATTAGCTGCAGTTATTTTTGCATTGAAAATTTGGCGCCACTATTTGTATGGGGCTACGTGTGAGGTGTATACGGATCACAAAAGTTTGAAATATTTTTTTACCCAAAAAGAGCTAAACATAAGACAACGTAGATGGCTAGAGTTAATTAAGGATTAAGATCTGCAAATTATGTATCATGTTGGAAAAGCTAATACAATGGCCGATGCCCTTAGTCGAAAATCCATGGGAAACCTAGCCTGTTTACTCACCAAACAGAAAACAATAGTGCATGAGTCGGTACTAGTTGAAGAGATCAAAAAGAAACAAATGTAAGGCGAGTTCCTCAAGAAAATAGTGAATGAATAGGAATCTAAACCTAGACCGGGATTTAGTTTTGAGAACGCTACACTCAAATTTCAGGGACGGTTGTATGTACCAGATGACAGTGATTTGAAGAAACGGATCCTCCAAAAAGCTCACGGTTCTAAATTCTCCATCCATCCGGGAAACACAAAGATGTATCAAGATTTAAAGAAGAATTTTTGGTGGCCAGGAATGAAAAGGGAAATTGTTGAATTTGTATCCAAGTGCTTACAATGCCAACAAGTTAAGGTGGAACATCAACGACCCACAGGGTTGCTTCAGCCATTACCAATATCGGAATGGAAATGGGAACATATTACAATGGATTTCATGGTTAGCTTGCCTCGCTTTAACAAAGGTATGGATTCTATTTAGGTAGTTGTTGATCGATTGACAAAATCTGCTCATTTCTTGCCTGTTAAAATGACATATAATGTGGATAAATTGGCTACCATGTATATGAATGAGATTGTGAGGCTACATGGAGTACCTGTATCGATTGTGTCTGACAGAGATTCGAAATTCATTTCGAGATTTTAGCAAAGTTTGCAAAAAAACAATGGGAACATAACTGAGGTTGAGCAGTGCGTACCATCTACAAACAGATGGCCAGTCAGAGAGAACGATTCAGACACTCCAGGATATGCTACGCATGTGTGTATTGGATTTTTGGGGAAATTGGGAAACACATTTGCCTTTGGTTGAATTTGCCTAGAACAATAGTTATCACTCGAGTCTTGGCATGGCACCATACGAGGCTCTTTATAGTTGGAAATATCGGTCACTACTTTGTTGGGCAGAAGTTAGAGATAGACCGTTATTGGGACCTAAACTTGTACAAGAGACTACGGAGAAAGAAAAGTTGATTCAACAATGATTGAAAACCTTGCAAAGTCGATAGAAAAGTTATGCTGACGTGTGTAGACGGGAAATAGAATATGAAGTAGGCAACCGTGTCTTTATTAAAGTTACGCCAATGAAGGGACACACTCATTTTGGAGTCAAGGGTAAGTTAGCACCTCGTTACGTCGAACAATACTAGATTATTGAGAAACTGAGTCTAGTAACGTACCGAATAGCCTTAACTCCGAATATGGAACACATACATAACGTTTTCCACATTTCCATGTTAAGAGAAACCCTTTTAGATCCTTAACAAGTTGTTGAACCTACCCAAATACTTGTGAAGCATGACTATACATATGCAGAACGACCCATTCGAATTATTAGCCGTCTAATTAAAAGGTTGAGGAATAAAGAAATTCCTTTGGTAAAGGTGGACTAGCCGAACTGTAGTGGCTTGTATGCAACTTGGGAAAGAGAAGTGGATATGCATGTGAAATACCCAGAACTGTTTTTATTATTTTGGAAAATTTAGGAAACCCTGACTCGTTGCCTAAGGTCACATGTCCGTCATCACCAAAGTTGCCTCGGCTCGGGAACTTAGGTACGATTGGGGAAGGTCAGCTATGAGCACCCCGCTCGCCCGATCAAAGATCGGCCACTACTAAACATGATATCTTGTTTTTGAAAACACATGCGTTCTTATTCCGATTAATTGGCTAGAATTACTATATGATGCACACAACACACAAGTGTAGACTAGATCGCCTAATTTGGAACAAAGCATCGCATATCCGTTTTGTTTGGAAATGGTTTGAAATTTGCTACTCGCAAGTAGGCTAAAACACGGATTTCGACGAATTATTCCAAATCAAGCAACCCAACCGTCACCTACAGGCATTCAGATAGTTATATCACATAAACACATAGCCTCATAGTAAGCATGCTATCATGGCAGTCACTCACACACATGCAAGGATGGTAAAGCATAAAAGCTTACCGAGTACTCCAAGCCAAAAGAAAAGCTAATTAGAAATCATGCATGAATCCTAACTATGCTGAGATGCCTAATGCAATACATGCAAAAATGCAACTTAAGATAGGCTCGGCTGCTCTAAGATGGCATATGAGATGCAACAGATAACATGTATTCAATTTGGAATTGAAATACAATGCAGTAAACATGATGCGCTGAGCCTGGTGCATGCAAGATAGATGAATGAATGCAAACATTCGACCATAAGTATGCTAATTGAAACATGCCCTAAACTAACCATCATAAGCTAGTAAATAAAAGGGAGAAAGAAGTAGGGGTTGGAAGACATGCATCACACACACGCACGCTTATTACACAATTTACCCTCTCTCGGAGGGACCGAATGAATAATACAAATTAATCAACTAACAAGCTAATTAATTAATTACGAAACCACCTAACTAATTGACAAATTAATTAAGCTACTGAAAGCAGTAAAATAGCCTCGGGAAGATGAATGTATGCATGCTCGGCCCCACTCGGAAATCCATCACCATGCCACAGTTGCCTCTGTTTGTACTGCTTTATGCCTCTGAAAATTGCATGAGTCCCAAGGTCGGTTCTGGAACACTCCCTAAACACTATAGGAGGTCACCGGCCATGGAAAAGTGGTCATCGACCAGTTGTGAGGCTCTCGGCCAACAATGGATAACCGGCCGGCACTGAAGATGGTCGACCGGCCATCTCTTCCTGCAGAATTCTGTTTGACAGCAGCAGAGGGCAGACAGTGCATGGCAAGGAAATTTCAAAGCAATGTGTGCATGGCCACTTTTCTTATCATTCTATAGACTCAAGGGAGTGTGGCCCTCGGCCCTCGGGCCACCAACCACCAATTTCGATGCATGATGACCAAAGACACCAAGCTTGCAAATCAATGTAAATGAATGCAACAAATGAGTGAACGCTTCACGCCCTATCATGTTGAGATCAAGTGCGTCGGCGACCAACAATTGAGACGTGTTTCGTCACTTTGAGTACGAACACACCTCATTCCCCATGTTTGGTTTGACACCCCAAACCAAACATAATGCAATGGATGTATGCAATATGGCTTTAGTGTACAAAACGACATGAAGTATGCAATATGAGGCTAAGTTACCAAAACATGCCAAATGCAATGCAACCTATACATGCAAATATGCAATATGCCAAGCATGCAAATGCAATGTAGCAAATATGGAAAAAAAAATTCAATGGAACTAGCATGTGTCAACACATAATGAACCAAATATGCAACAGACATGCGACGAATATGCAATGGTGGACTTAAACCGCAAAGGGCAGACCTCAGCCTTGCCATAAATAGTGGTCAAGAGTGATGGAAATGATGGACAAATGCTCATGCAAACATGCACACCAATGGGCCTAAAACTAAGGCATAAAAGGGAGCATTCCACTACAACTATCATGACCACACATGGCATGGATTATGCAACCCAAAACAGAGTTTCAGTGCGTCAAAATACACCCCAAAACCCACTGATATGGCAGCCCAAGGATTTAAACAAAAAGGCATACACCAAGGACTCAAACATGGAGCATAGGACCACAACTCTTCATGGCATTGAAAGGGTAATCAAATGCAAGCATGTAAGCATAAAACATGGACTGAAATGGCATGATAAGTGATTCCAAATCACTGAAATAGCCTAAGTAATGCATGCTAAAGACACACACAACCGAAGCCAACATGCTAAAATGCAAAGAGGCTATACAAAGTATGGAGAGCATGACCAAATCAACACCCAACAGAGCTTGAACATGATAAAACATGACCAAAAACTTCACAAAGCTAAGCCAAAACATGCAAGCATGGTGATCCAAATGCAAGATGCATCTCTAGGCAAAATAGAGGAATGCAAGGCAAGTGTATGGTGCATGCAAGGGGTCGACGAACCAACATGGAACAGAGGTAAAACAAGCTAGATAAACACCAAATAACCTCTGAAATAAAGCCAAACAAAGCTAGGCATGCATGCTACCTTTATGAGCCAAAAACACAAGCAAATGAGATGAAAGGGGAGAGGGGTGTCCCTCCCCTATGCAAGACCTTAAAACCCCTTCACCACCACTGAAAATCCTCTAAATTTTAGTGGTGAGAAGGCCAATACAGGAAAGTTCTCAAAGCTCAAACAAAGAAGGCATAAAAGGGCCAAACAAGGCCTAAGAGGGGGAGGTCGACCCCAAACACAAAAACGACTTTAATGAAACATCTTAAACATGAAAAATCAGAACTTTTATCAGTTAACATGAAGCTCAAAACAGCATCCAAAGTAGGTTAAAAGCTAGTGCAAGAATGGGGAATATAAAGCAATAGTGCTCACCCTTGAAGAACATTTTAAGAACCAAAACTCCAGCCCCCTTTTCTGATCAAAACCAACTCAAAAGCTCCAAGAACAACCTCTCAACACCTCAATAACCAAAGTATGGTGTAACACTAGGTGTCTTAGTGCAAAACTAAGAACAAAACTCACTTTTGGACACTCTAACACACAAATGTAGAGAGAGAGGGAGATATAGAGAGAGAGTGGTATATATATCATATATATCTCTGATTTTGCTGAACCTCTCTAAAGGAAGAAGAGGCCTTCTTTTATAGAACAAACAAGGGCCAAAGATTCTTAGAGAAGCTAAGGCAAAGGGGTCAAGCTTCCTCATGAAGCTAGACCGAAGGTCCAAGCTTCTTGGGGAAGCTAAGACAGAGGGTTCAACCTTCTGGAGGAAGCTAAGACAAAAGGTTTAAGCTTCTTCAAGAAGCTTAGAGAAAAAGGGTGCAAATGGTGCAAGTCCTCCATACACATATGGAGGACAAGTCCGTGCACTCCAGCTGGCACAGTTGGCTTGCACAATTCCTGAAAAAGGAAAAAAGGAGGTACCGGCCAGAACAAAAGACAATCGGCCAAATAAATGGCCGATCGACCAGATATCCGTGCCGACCGACCAAACAATTGGTCGGTAAAAAGAAAGAACGGCCGGTGGCTTCATGCCACGGCTGGTGGGTTTAAGAGATGGCTAACAAGCCACTTCTTACCCTCAAGTGCAAAAACCACAAGTCCTTGGTCCACAACCAAGCATAAAAGAGTCAAGTTGAGAGATCCTAAGGCAAGGCGCGTAGTCGAGTCCTTTGGGATCTCAAAATGAACACGAACATGGATGATCATCGAGTGTTCAAATGGTGATGTCCAAGTCCTAAGGACGGTCAAAAATGGGGTGTCTACAGTTGCCCCTCTTTGACAGAACTCGAAAGTCATAACAATGATGGGAGTGAATGTCAAAGCCCAGAGATGACCAATTTTTGACAAGGCCGAAGACTTAGACAAGCATACAAGCTACAAACAAAGATATGCGCCCGAAGGCAGGGGCAAAATGCAAAACAATGCACAAAGCCGAGCGTAACTTATGATCATGCAAAGAAAGCTATAATGAAGCATAACACGCGACAGTTTTAAGCTAGCACAAACCAAACTACACTACAATATAATACCTGTCCAGTTCATCTGGTCGCGCCAGCTTCAAATGAACCGTACATACAATATCGTGTCTGCAAAGGAAAGAAACTTAACAGGTACAATATTGTTGGCAATATGCATGACAATGCAAGTAAAAAGCTGCGTGACAATGCAAGTGGAAGGATACAAGACAATGCAACCTAAGGGCGATG